ATTTTCATTTTGTTTTTCAGTATAAACTCGGGGCTCCCTGAAAGGTCTTGCTTATATGATGAGACAAGACTGCATTGTGCTGAAAATATTTCTGAGGAGCTCAAGTGATTCTGTGTCAAGGATTTTCCAGTTTCCAGATTTTGCAATGGTTCTTTTCCCATAGGCGAACGCTTAACCCTCGAAGACTCTGGGATGAGTTTTCACCAGAGAAGAGGCTTAAGTAACAGTCAGCCCAATCCTCAGATACTCATCATAGAGTCGCTTTTATGTCACTCCTCCTCTGACATGTATCTTAATATTGAAATTCAGCTTCTTGAACTTCAATTCACATAACTTTCTTATTCTCTGGCTTTGAGCATCCCCTGTTAAAGTCCTCCACCTCTATGGGAACTGCTGTGTCTGGACCATCCTCTCTCCCTTCTATACTAACATTTAAAAGAGTTGTGTGTCTAGTGCTCTAGTCCACCCAACATCCCTCAAATAGAACTTCCCTCACTGAATATCTGTTTCTAGAGTATAAAGTGAGACTCTGTTAAGTCATGATGGACCTAGATGTTTGCTATTTATCTGGCATTTTTAGGTAACTATGACTTTAAGAAAATTGGTCCTGCCAAATAGTTTACGCCTCTCAGGAGAGGGATGAACGGGAGTTTTTGAGATCACTTACTCTGAATGCCAATACAAAATAATATAATTGGAAACCTTGAAGATATGATTTAACCACTCTGAACCTCATTTCACCTCTCTAAGAAGGAAATAGTAATGCCTACATGTTCTAGAATCTGAACTAGATGAGTTTCCATGACAGATGAGGAGGAGAACATTGAGAAGATAACAATTGGAAGGGTGGCACACAGCAGTGTTAAATAAAAGGGGTTAAGGTAAGTAGGCTTTTTGAAAAGTTCCTTGGGAACAGGTTATCATGTTAAACAGACTTTCTATTCCAAAATCTGTAATTCCTCAAGAAATGTCATGGGCTGGCCTCAAACTGTACTAAATTTTTTTGGTACAGTTTATTGGGCTCACTACACATGAGGACTGACAGGAAAACTCCCCCGAAAACCCCATGACTTGTGTATTGCCATCTGCTTTCTGAGTTGATTCCTGAAAAGATCAACAATAAGCCAAGACCACCTTCTCTCGCGATCAAGAAATGACACACACTTCAAGTTAGAAATGAAATGTCAGTGATCACCTATATCAATGTTTCACCTCACAGGGAAG